ATTTGAACAAAGAAATGCACATTAATGCAAAGAGCACATGTAAGAATTCAAGCAATATTGGTGTGGGAGCAACAATGTAAAGGGTCCAGACGATGACCAAAGGGGGCTATTGTATTGTAGTGGACACTATTACTATGGAAGAAATTATAGTAATACTAAATTATATGTAGAAGGGGGCAACTAATTATTTTTGGTTAGGCATTATACCCCAATGCCTCCCCATGATGCTGGCTCAGTTTACAATACCTTCTGTAGGTCTTAATACCACAGTCACGACTCTACTGCCCACTCACATTCTAATGCTGACCATAGAAGGATTCCATTTGCAGGGCACCCATGGCTTGAATTTTGGCTGATTCTGGAAAAACCAGCCAAAATTCAAGCCGGGGGTGCCCTGCAAGCACCACCCAGCTGAACAAGATTTTAGGCCTGTACAAAAGGGCATCATTAGCCATGTGTGCCTAGGGCAGACTTATGATGTGTAAATACAAGCCTGCTCGCATCACTACTATAAACGACATTATTGAACACTAAGGTCTCGTTCACACCTAGGCGTATTGCATATGCGCGTCTGTCGCACGTTTCTTTTAACGCGATTCGCGGTAAAAAAGTCACGCCAACGTCGCGCGTTTCCAAAGGCTACTTGGCTGTATCCCAATGGAAACGCGCAACAAAACGGCCCAAAGTAGTACCTGTACCTTTTCAGGCGTGGGCCGTTTTGTAGCGCGTTAGGGACGGGCGGAAATACGCCAAGGTGGGAACGAGACCATTGAATACAATGGGATTTATTTTTTTGAGCGTTTTGTAGAGCATTTGTCGAGCGTAGAACGCGCTACAAAACGTTCAGGTGTGAACGAGGGCTAAGTGCAGAAATATGGTTTATAAGCTAAAGTGACAAAAGGCTTAACATTTCACAAGAGCTCTTTGTACCAAATAATTGCTGCCTTATACTCTAGCCTGACAACTAATGCTACAATAGCCAGGCTGCAAATCTTGGTCTGAAATGTGTGCATAAAGGTGAAGTCCTAAGGACCTACATCCTGTACATTACATGATGCGTGCCATGTTGGATAGATTTCACATTTCTAAAAGAATAACTATGAGGTGAGTGAAAATTACTCATCCTCAATAGATCGGGAAGTGAGCGAACACATAATGTCGCTCGCTCACTTCTCGATCATCTCCCTGCAGAGAGCAGTGACGGTCAGTCACGACTCCCTGCATGGATTACCTCCCTCCCCGCTCCTATCCTCCAGCGCTGACTGGAGGAACGGATGGTGGAGGGGCGGGTACAGCTGGCTCTGCCTCTAGATAGGCAGAGCCAGCTGTCACTCACGCAGCTGGGTGGATCTCAACAGCATTGTCGGTATCCGTCCCGGGTGCGGCGGTCTCTGTATACAATTGGATGGCGATTTGTCAATAAAGGACTTTTTGCTTCAAAACTTTTGGTGTGCTGGTGACAATCCTTACTAGATCTGCATTGTTCACGGGGCCGTCCGTGGTCACTACAAGCACCCACCTGCTTGGCAGGTATACTACTATTCTGGTAAGGAGTGCAGC